GAATAACCTTAAACAATTATCAACTATTTGCATAATACATAATAGTAATTTGCATAATATTTGACATCTCAGATCTCTCTCACACAGATTTTTATTTTCATATTTCATTAGAAATAAAAAATATATATGTATTAATTATGGTGGAGCAAAGAGATTTCAAAGGTGAATTATAATTTCAAATCATGAATCAAATTAATTTATAATTAGCAAATAAATCAATGAGGATTGCATTTTGTACGGCTCACTTGTAAACAAAATACATCCTAAAAGAAATATTGGGCCAGGGGGTGCTGTGAAGCTGGAAGTGAACCATCGGGCTCTTTTGGCAACATCAGTAAAAAGTCATCTTTTTGGCTTTTCAGTTTTTTAAGCCAAAAAAATCAACTTTTTTTATCCAAAACAACTCAGTTTTTTGTCAAAAAAGTCACTAAAAAAGTCAAAAAGTCAACTTTTTACCAACTTTCCAAAACACCACATTAAATTGCATTATACTTTTGGTAGGGCTGGGCCAGGGCCAAGCTGGCTTTGGGCCCAAATATATCTATATATATCTACAGATCAGTTTGAATGAATGAGAATTTTTTTTATTCTTCCATATTGTGTTTGGTTGGTGATTTGAGAAACGATTTATGCAGTATTTGGTTAGGAGATTTAGGAAGTGATTGGAAAACGAAAAGGGAAAATGTACGTAACATGTAAATAAAATATACCTGCATTTCACTTACATTTTTTATTTTCTTTTTCAAATCCATCTCCAAATCTCCCAACTAAACACAATCATAAGGGAAAAAAAAAAGAAAAAGAAAAAAAAAAGAAATAGAAATAGAAAAAGTATGTGAAATTAGGTAAAATATAAGTATATTTTATTCATATTTCACTTATCTTTTTAATTTCTATTTTTAAATTATTTTCTAAATCTCTCAACTAAATTTAAAACTCTCAACTAAACACAATATTAGAAAGGAGAAAAAGTTACAAAGATATTGGAGGCTTAGAGGCAACCAATTGCGCTAGCAAAGGAGGAACCTTCTCCTGAATCAAAAAAAAAAAGGAGGAACCTTCTCCATCAAGATGCAAGGGGAATTAACATCAAAGGCTAATCTTATATAACAATGAGCCACATTAGTACCCTCCCGACGAACATGAAAAATCACAAAGGAATGGAAATGTTTTAGAGCATTCCGAATGAGTGAGAATTTGATGGACAATATTTGATGTTGAAAATTTTGTCCTCATTAGTGGTGTGTTAACTCAATAATAAAGAATTATGTAAATCACATAAGGTTCAAAAAATTAGGAATATATAAGAAATTATGTAAATCACATATGCCCTGTTTGTTTTAAGAGGTAGAATAGAGGGGATTCATAGTGAGAGAATTAATAGTAAGGAGATTGTTAATGAGGGGATTGATAGTGGAGGAATTAAGTAAAATTGTGTTTATTTTTATGATAGTTGTTAGTGTAGGAATTGTTAAATTATTTTTATATAAAATAATAAAACAAATAAAAAAATATAAAAAATTAAACATTAATATTTAAAAAAAATTCCCAATATATAAAAAATAAAAAATAAATTTTTTTTTTAATCCCCTCATTATTTTTCTAATACTATCTTCACCTCCTCCATCTCAATTCCCCTTCTAACCTTCATCTATATCACCTCCTCCATCCGAATCCCCTCCTCAACTCCACAAACAAATACAACACTAAGAGTGTGTTTGGTAACGTTTACGTTTTTAGTTTATATTTACAAAAATTTTATAAACTAGTTTTTGTTTATTTTTAGAAAAACATAAACTACAAACACGTTTGGTAATTGACAAAATATTTAAAAAAATTTAAAAATATAAAAAATAATGAGAAATGACAAATAGTGGCAAGTGGCGGTGGAAGACAGTGGTGGAAAGTGGTGACGGTGGGTGGTGGGTAGTTGGTGGTGGTGGGTGGTGGCAGATGGGTGGTGGTGGCGGGTAGGTGGCGGGTGGTGGTGGTGGGTGACGGTGGCGGGTGGTAGCGAGTGCGTGGTGGTGGCGGGTAGTAGCGAGTGGATGGTGGTGGCGGGGGGGGGGGTGACGGGGGCGGGGGGGGGGGGGGAGCGGGGTCAAAACGGTCGATGTGAGGCATCTTGAACCTGTCCGGCAGTGTCACAACTGCGTTGGTGTACCCGTCCTCAATGTCCAGGATGGACTTTACCCCTTGGGATTTCTTGAACAACTTTTCAAGCTTGCTCAACTTCAACGCTGTAAGGTCTACCTCGAACTCAAAGGGAGAGTCCGATGGGTTAATTGGTACTTTAGACAGCTGGGGTAAGATTGGGGGCGGAGCCGGCCCTGTCAGAATTTCCGTACCTTCTTGGACATTTGGCATCTCCCCGGGTATTGGATCTACTGGTGGGGGGGAAGCTTGATACGAAGCAAATGCTCTGTTTTGCTGTTGCAATCTGGTGATTAGCTCTGCCTATTGGGCCATGACCGCAGCCTGCTGTTTGGCGAATTCAGCTTAGCGGACAGCATCTTGCTGCATGAGTTTCATATTTTCTTGCATCTGGCGCATCATTGCCTCCATCCCTGATGTGTTCTACTGATCCATCTAACTTACTGGTATCTATCCCTGCAGTAGAGACTGAGACCTCAGCCTAAAAAAAAAAACTGAAAACTCAAAACGGAAACACATTTTTTGTGTTTTCATTTTTTGGCCAAATTTATAAACTGAGACCACTGATTTATAAATCAAAATTTTTACCAAACAAGCTTTTATTTGAGTTTTTAAAATTTTTATAAATATAAACAGAAAATTGAAAATATAAGTGTTACCAAACGACACCTAAATAACTCTACTTCCATCCTAATCCCCTCCCATCTATTTAATCCCAAAACAAATGGGACCTAAAATACTATTAATTGAGTATACAGTCACATTGAAATCCCAACAGGCTTTCAAAACTCTCATTTTTTTAATAGTAAATTGCATTGACCTTCTCCAAATAATGAAATTATAACCTAAAATCGCAGTTTTAATGAAATTATATTAGACCTAAGGTCTCGTTTGGAAAATAACTTTTTTAGCCTAAAAATTAAAAAGTTATTAAAAAAATCAAAAAGTCAACAACTATAGTCAAAGATTTTATTTTCTCTTTATTTTTTGCATATTTTTTCATATAAAACCGAAAAGTCATCCCAATATACTTTCTTTTTTTACATTATATTTTAACTAAAAAAAAATCAAAAAATTACTAAAAAAAACCTGTTGCCAAACAAGGCTTAACTCTATTAGACTAGTGTGTTAACTCAATAATAACAATAATGACAACTTTAACAGTATTAATGGACGTGATGCAATTATTATATTACTCTTAGATATTTTGTATAAATTTGTTTCAAACTGACACCGAACACAATTCATGCAAGAAAAAGCATAGTACTTTCTAACTTATATCTATATAAAATATTTTACGTATTTTTCATATTTTCTAGTATTTTTTAAAATATAAAAAAAAATTCATCTTAAAATATTTAAAACAATCAAACTAAACAAAATTCATATTTTTCCATTTCAAAAGCCAATTCACAACTCACAACTATGCACTGATCAATTTTCAAGCCTTGAAATGGGTAAAGAAAATCCAAATGAAATTTCAGACATAGGAAACAAAGTAGGACACAAGTAGAAGAAAGACCATTCTTATTTCAAACAATCAAGCAATCTCTTTGGACTTTTCTAAATATTGCAAATTCACAACTCACAACTATGCAATGATCAATTTTCAAGCCTTCAAATGGGTAAAGAAAATCCAAATGAAATTTCATACATAGGATAAGACACAAGTAGATGAAAGACCATTCTTATTTCAAACAATCAAGCAATCTCTTTGGACTTTTCTAAATCTTTTGCAAGATAAATTCAATAATGCCATCAAGACATCAAGACATGAAAAGCTGAATCTAATAAATATATTAATGAGTCAATGACACATAAGAGAATACTTTTAACACTTAAATTTGAAAATATTATTAAGTAATTTAGGAGTGTTATATGACATTATTTATATAAGATTCTTGATAAATAAAAAATTACAAAATATACTAAGTGAATCTTTCTTCATCTTTTGACTATTAAGTAATTCAGAAGTGTTATTTGATATTATTTATATAATACTCTTGACAAATAAAATATTACAAAATACAATAATGGTGTGTTTGTTTAGACGGATTAGATAAGGGAGGATTGTAATCCATCGGACTGTTAGTCTTGGGATACATTGTCCCCAGACTATTTGGTTGGACTGGATTTGTATCCAACATTTATTTAGTCATGGGATTAGTTGTCTAGATTGGATTATTTTCAGTGAATCCAATGTTTAGTTGGACGGACTGGATAATGATAAATGTTCAAAATACTATTTTACTCTTGTAATTTATAATTTTAAATTTGTAATCTATAATTTATAATTTATAATTTAACAACACTAAATTTTTTTAATTTATAAGGCCATAATTTTTAATTTATTATTTTCAATTAAATTAAATTTATAATTTTATTTAATATATAATTTTAAATTAACAACACTAAAAAAATAATTTTATTTAATATATAAATTTAATTTTTTAACTAAACAAATTTAGTTTATAAGGCCATAATTTATAATTTATTATTTATAAATAAATTTAATTTATAATTTATATTTTTTATTTAATATATAATTTTAAATTAACAACACTAAAAAAATAATTTTATTTAATATATAAATTTAATTTTATTTTTTAATTTATAAGGCCATAATTTTTAATTTATTTTTTTAATTAAATTTAATTTATAATTTATAATTTATATTTTTTATTTAATATATAATTTTAAATTAACAACACTAAAAAAATAATTTACAAATGTTCATGTAACGCCCTCAAAATATGATATAACCCAACTATTCACAAGATCCTTAAACATGATAGGAAAGTTCTATTCTCATTCATCGGAATTAATATTACAAAAACTTTTACATGCATTACACTTTCATAAATGTTTATCTTGAAACTATAGCATGTAATTCTATTTTAAACAATAAAATATGTGCCCTACGGGCTTATATCTTTCCAAGTCATCACTTGATTACAACAAAAGAAGAGTTTTAACTCTATACATAAAAAACTCTCGGCTTGGATTTACATTTAATACAAAACAAAATATCCAAAAAGAGAGTCTTCAACTCCCAAACCTCCCAAGCTAAGACCTTCGAGGCGGCATGTCCCCTGTTCCTGAAAAAGGATGTCCCAAGTAGGGTGAGCCAAAACCCAATAGAGATATGCTAAACAAAATATGATAATTAACTAAAATATTAGCATCCGATAACTGTTTAACACCTAAGACCAACTTATATACTTTCCATGGCCAATCAACATTTACTTCCATGTTTCAACCCATTTCCTTTTATTTATCCAAATCAATTTAAAATGAGACTACAACTCATATTATTAACACTTCAATCATAAACATCATTCATACACTTCCATTCACTTTCCATTTTACGAAACTACGTCCGAGGGAATCGGCACCCACAGATAAATAAGATTTTGGGACTTTCACCCAGGACACTCTAGCCAACTAAGTTACCAATGGAGTCCATCTCATATCTCCTCCTGCACAATGGAGTACATCCCCTATCTCCTCCCATACAAAGATACATATACAACGTATTAACATGTAGGCATATACAATGACCCAACAATTCACATGCTCAACGTTTTAATCCAACCGTCATATTCAATGACATAATCCAATTGATTAGTTTCAATTTACCTAATTAGCATGCAGTCTCTACAACAATCATGGTTATCCTCCACCGATAGCCCAAAACAGATAAATAAATTTATCAAACAGATAATTTATCAACTTTTCTATAGGTTGGTGATTATTCAATCCAATCACACCATTTAAACGCAATTCTTCCCAATGTTATAATTTCCAAACCAATTTCATATTTCCACAATGAATTCACTATTTATACAAAATAGTTATTTAATTCCAAACTAGGGCATTTTCCCCCAAATTTCCAAAACATTGACCCAAAGGTCCAAATCTCACCATTTCAGCAATTATACACCAATAACCCCATTTTTAAGAACCACATACTAGGGGTGGGCGCGGATCAGTTGCGGCCATGAAACCTTAAATTCGCCATCCGTCTGCCAAATTGGCGGATTGGAGAAAATCAATCCGCATCGGTCCGCCAATCCGGCAGATGCGGATTTGGCGGATTGGCGGATGGACACGAATCGATTTGGCGGTTTGAAATTTTACAAATTTTCAACAAAAAACAAAAAACAATAAACAAAAAACAAAAAACAAAAAAAAACCTAGGCAATGCAATATTTATTCATTCAAATCCATGGTCTAACAACAGTTTAACAAAAAAAAAAAAAACTTGAAAGAAAATAAACCATGTATTTATTAAACATATAGAGTATTCAATTAATTGTAAAGCTACAGATTAGATTTTTTAAAAGTACAGAGCAACAAGCAACTGAGAAGAGTATTCAACATATATAGTATTCAATTAAACATAATCTGATTCCATGCGTGATATAGTTTTAACACATTTTGTAGCAACATATATTACGGAAAAATTCTAAATATTGGTTACGATGAGACTTACAGGAGCTCAAAATACAGGTTGGTGTGCAGCCATTTCAAACATACAACAACCTGAGACAACAGCAACATGTCATTCATGGATGAGTCATGCCATGAAGTTCTCACCACCTGCATAAGATGTGAGGTGGCACCATTAATAGGTAGACATAAGCTGGTGCCATTTCTTCTCAAGCATTAACAGCATACAAAACTTATTGACTGAAGCCAATACTAGGAGAGAATCTATCTGAGTATCTGAATGTAATATTAGATTGGACCTTAGAAAAAAGATCAATGGACTGATGGAATGCAAGTGTTGTATTTGATTAATTCAATTGTAGAATACAAGTTTATTTCATTTGAATATATATAAATTGATAAAGTATGATTAGGAAATAAATTGTAGAGCAGCTTTGCAAGTCCAAAGTCACCTGTACATTTAATATTTATGATCATGAGATTGTTTATTAGAGTGGACATATCCTGTTGGTCAAGTTATAGAGAGAATATACATAATCTGATTCCATGCGTGATATAGTTTTAACACATTTTGTAGCAGCATATAGTACGGAAAAATTCTAAATATTGGTTAAGATGAGACTTACAGGAGCTCAAAATGCAGGTTGGTGTGCAGCCATTTCAAACATACAACAACCTGAGACAGCAGCAACATGTCATTCATGGATGAGTCATGCCATGAAGTTCTCACCACCTGTATAAGATGTGAGGTGGCACCATTAATAGGTAGACATAAGCTGGTGCCATTTCTTCTCAAGCATTAACAGCATACAAAACTTATTGACTGAAGCCAATACTAGGAGAGAATCTATCTAAGTATCTAAATGTAATATTAGATTGGACCTTAGAAAAAAGATCAATGGACTGATGGAATGCAAGTGTTGTATTTGATTAATTCAATTGTAGAATACAAGTTTATTTCATTTGAATATATATAAATTGATAAAGTATGATTAGGAAATAAATTGTAGAGCAGCTTTGCAAGTCCAAAGTCACTTGTACATTTAATATTTATGATCATGAGATCAAACACTGCCTGGAGGACCATATACATCAATCAAATCATATTCATTCTTTTTGCCTTCTTACCCAATCTGATTTCATTGTCTTTCGTACGAAATATGTTTGAAAACTCAGAAATATTATTAAACAGGATTAATTCTCAGAAACATGATTAAATATGACTATTTGATCAATGACAGCCCAAATTTATGATTAATTTAACATAGTCAAAGGCCTAATTAATTAACAGAACACAGTCAAAGCCCTATCAAATTCAGAACACAATCGAAGCCCTGAAAAGAAGAGAAGAAGATCTGTACAAAGACAAGAAGAGAAGACAAGAGAAGAAGCCGAAGCCCTAGCCCTAATTACTGAAAAAATAAAAAAATAAAAACACATAACACAATCGCTGATCAACGATCAAAGGCAAAAAGAGAAGAGAAGAAGAGAAGATTACCTCCTAATTGATGCTTTGATCGCTCGCCGCCATTGTCGTCGATCGCCGATCGTCGCTAGCTAGTAGCCACCACTGTCGCCAACGCCGATCACTTCTCGTCGCCTCCGTTCAAGTGTGTGTGTGTAAGAGGGAGAGAGAGAGAGAGTTGAGAGAGAGGCAGACACTTTCTTTCTTCGAATTCGAACGAAACCTAGGGCTAAACAAACCTGAAATGAAAAAAAAAATTGGGGCAACACGAGGGGAAAATGAGGGGAAATTAGGGTAGGCGGGCGGGTCGGGTGATTCATTAGATTTGGCGAATTTCCTGTGACACAACCCGCACCCGCAAAAATGTTATTTTCTAGCCCGCACTTGACCGTCAAATAGCACGCATCCACCCATTATGCCACGGGTCGGGCGGGTGGGTCGGGTTGGCAAATCCATTGCACACCCCTACCACATACACATATGGAGTTGAAAATTGAAAACCCCTCTTTCACAAATCAACACCCTAACCCTAACTTCACCCAAATTTCCCAAATCTAACCATTTATACAAAATGACCAACATTTATGTTAAAGCTCATAGAAATGAGTAGTTTATCCCTACCTCAAATGGAGAAGCTCAAAGGAGAAGAAGAGAAAAACTCAAGATGCTCCAAACTTGAATTTCTTCGGATCAAAATGAAGCCTACACAATGCTCTAGATTTCTTACAAAGGAACTAGGGTAGAAAACCTCTAGAACGTGGAGTATTTGTAGAGAGAGAGTGTGTGTAGAGAGAGGCTGTCGATTTTAGGGTTTATTGTGAAAATGAGATAAAAAGTGATATGAAAACCTGCTACTGCGAACTGATATAAACAAGTCTCACTCGAGCGAAGGAGTTGTCGCTCAAGCGACCAGACACAACAAGTCCTCGCTCGAGCGCAAGAAGCGTCGCTCGAGTGAACAATGAGAAGCTACAAGTCTAAACCAACACAGACGCATGCTCGAGCTCAGGACTTCTAGCTCGAGCAATGGGTTAAACAACACAGGGCTCGCTCGAGCGCAAGAAAGTTCGCTCAAGCGAAGAATGCCATCCTTCAGGTCTAAAAGAGAAGTAGACGTACGCTTGAGTACCGGACTTCTCGTTCGAGCAAAGAGACACACGACACAAGGCTCGCTCGAGCGCAAGAAAGCTCGCTAGAGTGGAAGCTGCGTCTGAGAAAGAAACCTGGAGACCCACAATACTCGCTCGAGTGCACAAAACCTCGCTCGAGCAAAGAAACAAATACCCAAGGCTCGCTCGAGCGCAAAAAGCTTCGCCTGAGCGAAGAAGGAAAAACCTGGGCAGCCACCATTTGTTTCAACTCACAACCAACCTGTTCCAAACTTAACCAACACATCCCACAACTCAAATACAAGGAATTAAAGGATGGAAACAAGATATAGACAACAACAACCAACCATAGAACCCGAGTTCAGAATACAATGAATGAAGGGGAAAAATCCGGATCGCTATAGTTCAAAAGACTATTTTACCCTTTTCCAATTGTTTATTAAGTAACAACAGGAGGATAAAATGGACATTTCACACATTAGTACCATGGGTTACCAATCTCATGAAAATAATCCCACCCCTCCCCCTAGGATACAATAATCTCTCATATGAGGGACTAATAGTCCGGAGAGACTATTAATCCAGAGCAAAAAAATTGAACCAAACAATGGACTATTAGTCCGAATTGACTAATAGTCCAATCCCATGAAATAATTCCTCAAAACAAACACACTTGAAGGTGTTTGGGAAGTAAAAAATTGGCTTTTTTTTGGGCTAAAATTCACAAAACAAACTATAATAGTCAATAAAATAAAATATCACATCAAGTATATAATCATTTCACTTTTTTCTCACAAATATTACATCCAATTACAAAAAAAAATATAACCCTCTTCCCAGACATAAATATTTTAGCCTAGTAAAATAGCCAAAAACTAAAATAACCTACTAAAATAGCTAACTTCTTAAACGAGGCCATTTCTTTCGACTATAGCATCTCCAATGGTGGTTGCTATATTGCTATTGCTATTGCTATAATTTGGCAATGAATAGTGTTATTTTGCCAAATTATAGCAATGGTGCTCCAATGGTCATTTGCTATTTTTGGCAAATCTCAACCAATTTTCCCTCCAAGTTTGTAGGTGTTGTTTGGATATAGGTTTTTTGTGATTTTATTTTTATTTGTTTTTTGTCTTTTGTAACATTTTTTTACCTGTTTGTTAAAAAAATTATATATTTATATTATTCCCAACTAGACAAATATAAAAAATAAAAAAAAATGAAAAATGGAAAAATTGAAAAAAATATATATTTATATTATAATGCCTTTTTATTATAATAAAATTATCTTCATTTAATGTCAGCTAATGTATTTTATCTTTTTATTGCCTTCATTTGAAAAAAATATATTTATTTTTTGCATTATACTTTATTGAAAATATTAAATTGTAATACAAATTAGTGAACATTATACATTGAAAAAATAATATTACATTGTGAAGTACAAAATACTCAAAAAAAAAAAACATGAAATTTCATTACAAAATAAAAATTACATTGCAAATAAAGACTAACAATTACATTAAAAAATAAATGATATTGCAAATTTGAAAAATACATTATCCCGTAATTATTCATCAGGAAGTAAGGGGAAATAAAAATTTGGGCTACTCACATTTGAGGACCACTTGGCAAAAATCTCATTTTTTCGCATTGTGTAATACACTTTCATCTGAGGGTCCAAATCAAAAATGTCCGTAGTTATTATTTGGTGTTCTTCCTTTCTCATCTCAAACTCATGTTTTTTCATCTCAAGTTCTTTCATCTACTGTAGTGCTTGAATCCTTTTTTCTTCTCTTTCCTCTTCTTTTCTTTTCTTTCTCAGTAAGGTGTTGGTTAAATGTGTCTAATTGTGTATTCATTTTTTGGACTTCAGTTTCAATGACTTGATTTCTCCGAAATAATTCTTTTGCAGATTTCCTACCCATCGGCCTTTTACCCCTTGCAGAGACACTGCCCTCACCAACAGTTGGATTGTTACCAACACTTGGACTGGTGTCATCTTCAAGAGAAATGCAATTATCCATAGGGGAATTGGGGGCTGAATCAGGAAAAAATGGTGTATGTATCCTTGACTTCACCGTATTCGTGGGAGTTACATCTTGCCACTTGATATTATTTTGCAAGATTGACCAACAATGTTCAAAAGCAAAATGTTTCTTTTCATCTTGATGGTATAAAAGTTTTGCTTGAAGCATCTGTATCAATAAAATATTAAATGAAGTAATTATTTAATTTTTATATGAGACGAAATCAAATAAAATAAAAAACTAATGTAATAAATGAAGATGAAATCTCACTAGATCAACTTGAGGCATCCCACTTGGGTGTAGATTTTCGACTTGCGCTAAACATCCACGAAATTTGTTAGAACATTTCATGATTGTACCCCATCGAGATTGGATAGAAACTTGTGTTCTTGACTGATCATTCTGAAGGGAGCAATAATTTCATAAATTCTCCCCCAAAAGTGAGTATAAGATTGTGAATTGCCAACAATTCGGTCTTCAGAAATGTGACACCAAGCTTTACAAAGTGTCATATCTTCAACAATGGTGAATGATTTTCCTCTCTTTATTTTTGATGAACCTTCCATACTGATTGTGTAAAGAAAATATAAATAAAAATAGAATTTAGAAAGTTTGTTGTGAAATGAAATTGAGTAAAAAGAGAGAAGAGAAGGTTTGTATTTATAGAAGAAAATAAAAAAGAACCATTTTTTATAGCCGTTTTAACATAAAAAAGAGCCGTTGTGATATGTTTCACTTATGTTTTTATTTAATTTTTATTTTTTTTAATGAATAAAGTAGCACACTTGGATCTCAGCCGTTGGATTGCTATTAATCAACGGCTGAGATCAATCACGAGTCTTTGTGTCTCTATCCTCTCATCATTGTGTCTCTGCCCATTAAACAAAATAGCACAATTCGGATAAACTTCAGAGAAGATCAGAGAGAGAGAGAGAGCTTCGAAACACTTCGGATCAGTGAGAAGATCACCTTCTCTGTCCCCCTATTTCTCGGATCACTTTGAAACACTTCGGATCAGTGTGTAACGCTGTCACGACCCAAACCCGCCCCTGTAGGTCTAGCATCGTAACCGGGCAGTAATCCTTGGATTATCAAAGGCCTCTTGATAGATTAGCAAATAATAGGGGGCTGCGGAAGCAAATATATAAAATAGACAAGGTCCAATGAGCTGTGGTAACGTACATGAGACAGTAGATTTCAAAACTTATATATATATATATACATGAGCATGCTAGTCAAAGGACGCCAATATTTACAAAGTATTTACAGAAGTGTACATTCCAAGACCTGACTTTACAACAGTCACAAAGACTAGCGTGAATACAAAAACAACCCTAGCATTAGACTTTGATCGGAACCTCCTCGGGAGGCACAACGGTTGGCTGACAAAAACAGAACAGAAGGCCGTCAACTCTGGCCCTGGTCACACGCCGGCTCACCTACATACATAATATAAACTGTGAGCGAAAGCCCAGTGAATAATAACAGAGTAAAGGGGTTTCAATGAATCAGTCCGTACAGATTCAAAAATCATAATTCAGTTTCGTATCAAATCCATAATTGGTCCAGATCATATACAAAAATAATAAGTCATGCTTGAGTTTACGTGATACATCCATTAGCAAGAACAGAGCAGATACAGAATAGAGGCAGACACGTGAGGGTTACAAGTAACTAGTTCCTTAAAGGAACCTCTGGATCCGGGTAACAGAACAGAAGCTGAGCCCCCATGACGGGGCCTCCGGTACGGGTAACATAATGCAAACGGGTATAAGTTCCATAAAAGAACCTCCGATACCGGGTAACAACCAATAGATATCACATGATGCTAAGGATGACACGAATACATATCAGAAATTGAAAAATCATTCATTGTACAAAACATATCATTTTGGAAAACAGATCGCATTTTATCACACAGAAAATAGATACAGTTGAACACAACTTTACTAAGTTATTACTTACAGTTGGCCTTGAGACAAACAGACGGAGTAAATTAGTCAGACAGAACGCAGCAC